TCAGTAATGCACAATTGTACGGTTGAGCTATATAAGCATTATATTAAAGTCATCGAGAGCATGAGAGATAATACAATAATACAGTCAGGCATGTTACATAGTACCATTGCTCACCTCAGCCCAGCTTGGTGGTCCACGTGGAGAGAGGGGGAAGGGAAGGAGGGGAAGGGAACAGGGAGAGGGGAGTGACCAGGGAGTGAGCAGCAAGGAGCTCAGAGTCAGAGTGAGATCTAGCTTGCTGGCTCACACCTATATACCTTTTGGGGGCCAGCCAGCCCACTAATTACAGGTAGAGACATACATCACAGGAAGGGGCTGCACTATAGGTTACACAGCAATGAGAGGGTGGTCTAGGAGGTGGTCTTTGGGTCTCCATAGGAACCATTATCAGTAGGGTGTAAACTCCGCCTACAGGAGCCTGTCCATTGTCCCCAGAGGCAGGGAGCAGGCCCACCCCTGTGGAGGGATGAGACAGCAGTCTGGCAACTGATTGCCTTCAGGGGGGGGAATGCCTGAGCATCTGACCTCCCCCCACAACAAACAAATCTGTCTTGGAAGAAGTACAGCCAGAGTGCTCCTTACAGACAAGGATGGCAAGACCGGACACAGGGGCTGCAACAATGGGTTGGAGCATAAGAACAATCGCGGAGACGACAGAGGACCAGCCAGTGTTTGCTTCTATTGTCCATAGGGACGCAACGAGTCAGAATCAAGCGGATGGCACCTAACCACGGCCACAGCCGCCCTCCCAAAGAAACACCAGCTGATCTGCTTTCCTGAAGATCAACAACCCAGACAAACCACCCTGTCGAGCATGTCTGTTCTGTCACGTGGGGTTGTAATGTGTCAAAAACTCACTCAACAGCACCCAACCGTCGCAGGGGGCAGGGGAAGCCATTGCTGTGACTAAACACGTAGCCTAACTGAACTTCCTGGCTCAGACCCAGTTACAAAGATTGCTTTATCTGCTAACAGGAACTCGGCACCTCCTCCCTCCCAGTAAGGTCAGGATGGGGAGGACGTTCCTCCTTTGTCCTGAGGGCAGCTCTGGGCCCTCACCACCTTCCACCTCTGCCCATTCCATCCTAGAGAAGTTCACATGCTTCTCTCCCCGGGAGAAACGGGCAGGTTCCCGCTGGCAGAGCTCACCTCCTGGCGGGAGGTAGAACCAGGCACACATTCCGGAAGAATTCTGCCCGTTTAGTCAGCTTTGCAGGTGAAGTTTGGCCGGGCGTGAGGGGAGGAGGGGAGAGAGCATTAGACCATGCAGTTAATTCTCAAACTGGCTGGAGGGGCAGCCCCCACCTCAGGAGGATTTGTGCCACACTGATAAATGTATAAAGTATTTGGCCTTTAATCAATCCTAATATTTTCAATCCACAGAGCCTTCTTAGAGGCCTGCAGCCCTGCCCCTGCACCCGCATTCATCACAATTACTGCTCCAACTGTCGGAGGCCGTGCATGAAACGGCCCATGCTGACATCCAATATTTTATCACTAATACAGAGAAACATCCCAAGTATTTTCACAGTTCTGAAACTTTCCAGCCCCCAAACCCAGGAAAAGGGGGGCAGGGTGGTGGGGCAGGGTGGGGAGGCTGGTGATTTATGCTCACTGCGAGGCACTGTTAATTGGCCTGCTCTGCTGGCTGCGGCCATGGCACCCTGGCTTTTTTCCCCCCCCAGCTTCTGGGCTCTGACCCAGGGTTTGCAGGGGGCTGGAGCAGCATGGTGCCCTGCCAGGGCCCAGGGAGGGGCTGGTAGCTCACATAGTAGGTCCTCCCTCGGCATCTGGTAGTTGGTGTCAGCCCCATAAACAGTGAGGTTTTAAAGTCAAGATTTGGCAAGTTGTGGCACTCACTGGTGGCATTGTCAACAGACCCCATGTTTACAGGACTCTGGTTCCAGTTGTTGCCACAACTATGACTGACCCTGTCTCCGGTCTGGCCTTCCTGACACCCCTCAGCCCCAGGCAGGATCTACTGCTCAGGCCCCAGGCCCTATTCCACCCGAATCCCCGCCTCCTGGCTGCTGGCAGAGGAAGCTCGGTTTCCCCCGCCGCATTCGGATGACCCACAGACTGCATCCACATGGCATCCACACTTCAGGACGTAACAGTAACAACCAGACCAGCAGCTGGTTTGTCTTTGTGACAGCAGGTGCCGGGCAGAGTTCTGAGTCCCTGGTTTGCGGGCGTGACCCCAGAGGGGGCTGGAGAGAGTCTTACACAGTTGTCCTTATCAAGGAGTTTGTCTTGGGCTTGCCAGACTCAGGGGGTGAGTTAAGGAAGGTCAAACCCAAACCAAACTCACTGCCACCGAGTTGATGCTGACTCCTAGTGACCCTATCGGACAGGGTAGAATTGACCCTGTGAGCTTCCAAGACTGGAACTCTTTATGGGAGTAGAAAGCCCATCTTGCTCCCTCGGAGAAGCTGATGGTTTCTACCTCCTGACCTGGTAGTTAGCAGTGCAACACGTAATCCAAAAAAAATAAAAGAAATGGCCGGTGGAACTGGCAACAGAGGATGTCTTCTCTGTAGACAGAGTGGGGGACTTGACCATTGTGGGGGGTGGGGGGCTGGAGAATCCTAGGGCAAATGGGTGGAGGAAAGAGTTGATGCCAACCCCCAAAGCCCTCCTCGATTTCATTATGATAAAGGGTTTCCCAACCTCTGCATCCCACAAGGATGCTTTCCAGGGAAGGAGACTGTCCCGATGAACAAACTCCCTGACCTCTGGGAGGAGGTCCGCTCTGGGACAGAGGATGCCCTGGGGCTTATGGCGGTGGGCTGGGAGGGTGAGATGTCACAAAATTTATGACTCCTACCCCTCCAGCTTCTAACAGGAGGCAAAGGGTACATATATCCCAACAGACTCACAAGATGATGCAAGTGAGTGGTTTTGTGAGAGGGGTCATGAAGGAAGGGCCAGGAGACAGAAAGCCCTGATGGTCAGTGGTGGCAGGGGCCCCCCCGGGAGCCTGGGTAACAGGAGCCACCTTCCCTTCCCATCCATCCTTCCATCCTCTTCCCCTGGCCATGTCCTATGCTCACATGCTCCCCCAGTCCTGTCTCCTCATTCCCAGCCAGTCTCCACCCCCACCCCGGCCTGACTCAGCCTTCCTCTCCACCCCACCAAGCCCCTGGGTATAAAGATCCTCTCCCCAACTCCCCCAGCCCTGCGGGTTACACGCAAGCACGGCCCCAACATTCTCTCCCCACAAGTCCCCCAGGCCTGTGTGGAACACTGAACAGACCCCTCCATCACGCCACCACGCCCCACTCCTGTCCTCCACGCTCCCAGCCTGTGTGCAATGCTGAACACGCAGCCCCCGCCTGCAGCCAGGCACCACCCACCCACCAGCCCCGTGTGCAACACAGAGCGCACACCCTCCTCTCCTTCCTCTCTCCCCCAAGCTCGGAGGGCACCCTCGCCACCTCCTCTCCCTTGCCTCTTGGCTGCAACTTTCACACCCAATCTGCCCAATCCCTTGAAGAGGCTCTCCGCCAGCACCCCGTAACCCCACTCTGTTACATCGAACAAGGTCCTCGGGGCAGCCTTCTCTGGCCACAGCTTCCACCTCCACCGACTCCCCCAGCATCTCCAGAGACTCTCTGGGTCCTTCGGTGATGATCTTTGCCCCCAGCCCAGCCCAGAAAAGCAAGCATTGTGGTTGTTGTGCGTGGGAAAGGGGTCTGGGAATGGCGACAGGGGGAGGGTGGCTGCTCCAGGCTCCTCCATCCATCCTCGAGTTACAGAATTTTATGCCAAAGGCAAATATTTTCCTTTGACCTCAAGGTTCCTATCTGTGAAACTGAGCTGCAGCTCCGTATCAAGGGACCTGGCACCCACAAGGAAGGGTCTGATTTCCACAGAGAGCTGAGAGTTCCAGGACTGGGCTAGGTTTAGGACCAGGTTGAAGGAAGCCAGAGATTCTACTTGTGGGAGGGGGGCCTCTTTTTGGTCCTGTTGTTCTTGCTTTTTTTTTCTTTTAGGAAACAGGAAGTGCCCGGCAGCATCTCACGGTTCCAGGGTTTCCAAGGGAATAACCTCCCCCTGATGACCACAGCAAGCCCTGGCTGTTAAGTGGACGGGCTGCCCTGCCATTTACAGGGGAGGGTGGAGGGGTCAGACACAAAGAGAACCAAAGTACAGGGGACCCAGTCCCCCCTCCCCCAAGTAGCCTTGCTTTTTAGCTCCGTGGGTTAGAAGTTTACAGGAATTCGGGGTCCATGGTTTCCTACGGTCGCTTTTACAGATCTTGTTAATTTATTACCCTGGGTTACACTTTTAATGGAAATCATGAAGAAATGGCAAAGGAAACATGAGCTAATTTTTTTCCAGTGACACATTTCACTGCTATTTAAATACCCGTTTTGCCAAACCAAACACAGCGCTTACAGCCAGCGGTGACACATGAAGGGGGTCACTGTGGCTGATGCTGCCCACGGCATCCAGAACAGGCCAGACTTTCTCTCAGTTCCCTCCAGGGCCTGCCGCCAAGGGCGGTGATGGGAGGGGGTGTGTGTTGGCGGGAGATGGAGCCTGGGGCACAGCTGGAGGCCTGGGGGGCTGCAGCTGGCCAACACCCACCAGGCAGGGCTGCTTCTTTTTCTCCTGTGTCCACTACACACACAGAGACAACCTCTGCCTAGCCACTAGCAAAGGCAGCCTGCCTCTCCCTGCCGGATGACTTGCTGGGGCTCTGAGCTACCGGGAACATTATCAGGTTGTGTAAAACCAGATCGCCTTGGGGGAAACCCCGGCCAGCTTTGTCCCAGCACTGCGGTGGCAGTGGCATGTCCACGGCCTGGCTTGCACAGGGCGCCTTTGTTGGGCCAACCCAGATTTCTGCTCAGCAATGTTGGCCTCTGACGCTCCTTGCATTTATTAACTAATCAAGCATTTATTAACTCATCAAGAAGCCAATTGAGAGATGTGGCATTTGGGGAGAGACCAGCGAGGGCATGGAATGTTGGCTCCAGAGGAACGGGCCCACAGCCCCGGCCACAAGAGCAGGGACGCAGTGAAGGAGGGCGCTGTGCTTTGCAGAAGTCGTGTCAGAACCCCCACCCCTGGCTGTGGTCCTTTCCGACGCCTGCCAGCCCCATGGGGGTCCGAGCAGAGCTGTGCCTCCCAGGGGCTCAGCCACCGCCTTTTCCAGAAGTGGGTCACCAGGCCTTTCTTCCAAGACATCTCTTGGAAGATTCGAAGGGCTTGCTTGGGGCTTCATGGCTCCGGATTAAAAAGGCAGCGAGATTGATGGCAGCAAAGACTTCTTGGGTAAGGTAACCAGACGTCCCGCTTTTGGCGGGACAGTCCAGATTTTTAACGATTTTTCCCGTGTCCCACGGCGTTTTAAAAAAATCCCAATTTTTGGAAAGAAGGCACGACAAGCTAGGGTAGAGAGTTTTCAGCTGCCATGTGGCTATTTTGCCAGGATATGAGTTTTATCAATGGTGTCCCATTTTACCAATGTTCAAATCTGGTCACCTTATTCTTGGGCTGACATCAGCCCCTGCAGGCCTTTCTCTGGGAGGGGTTCCTGAAAAGGGGGGGGGGGAGGGACAGCCCAGTGGCACCAACACCCTCACGCCACGCGCTTCCCTGATGAGCTAAGAGAAGAAGAAGGAATGGTCTAAGAAGGGGGCTCACGATGGGGAGAAACCACGGTCGTAGAGAGAGGGGCAAGAGCCGGGAGAAGCAAGAGTCCCTTCTGCAGGATCTTGAGCAGGTCCAGCTGTCTCCTGTGGCATGTGCGATGGGGTGCACGGTGGTCCCAGAGTCCCTCGTGAGTGTCGAGGTGGGCAGGGTGGAGGGGCTGTGACAGGACTTGGGCACCGGGCCTGCTGGCCCACCAGGGCAAACCACTCTCCCGATGCTTTCCAGAGAGAAACCCTACTTTCGTGGGGCGCGCAAGAGATGCGAACTGTTGTCTTGCTTTTGCCAAGAAGTATATTAAATTCACTGACCACATTTTTCCAAACCCAAGTGCAGAGGACGTTAGGAGCAACACACCCTGGCCAGGGCCTGGTGCGCTGGGCACCTCACACGTTTCATTCTGCGTTATTAATATTTAAACCGAAGCAGCTGTTTTCGGCAGACACACAGACCAGAGTCTGCCCAAGGCTCCTGTGGAGGCTCCCCCTGGGGCCAGTGGCACTAGCTAAGAAGCCAGTTGTTTGTCCTCAGGCCTTTGGCCTCCTGAGGCGAATCTCCCCCAAGCAGCGTTCCATTGATCAGGGATAGAGTCTCAGAGACATTTCTGGACAAAGGAGCGTGGTGGTTTGTTGCAACAGCAAATTGTATTGATTTTGTTGAAATCTAGTAGGACCCCGCCCCCCCTCAGCAGGCAGCCTTGGGAGAGAGTATCTCTTTGAAGCACCCCCTTCTCCCTGAGTCCCATGCCCTCTGTCCCAGGGTTAGGCACCCTCGGGCTGCCAAGTTCAACCTCCAACCCTTTCCTTGGCAAAATCAGAACAACTTCTATACCGGACGTCATCGGTCCGTGGAGCTTGGGCTCTTCCTCTGGGCATTTGCAAGTTAAAGTGACATCTCTAAGCGCAGCAGGGAAGACCTATGCACGAATGGAATCGCTGCAGCCCAGGGTCCCCAGGTGGTGCCATAGCTTAGGGCATTCAGCAGCTAACTGAGGTCTGAGGCCGCCCAGGAGCCCTGGTGCCCCCGTGGTGCTGTGGGTAACACGTTAGGCTGCTAACCACAATGTCAGCTGTTTGAAACCACCAGCCACTCCGAGGGAGAAAGATGAGGCTTCCTGCTACCCCAAAGAGTTACAGTCTCAGAACCCACAGGGGCAGTTCTACCCTGTCCTACCGGGATGCTATGAGGCCGCAGCGAGTTTGGTTTGAGAGGGGCCTTGGTGGTGGCAGGAGTGAGGCATTAGGCTGCTAGCTGCAAGGGCAGGGGTTCAAACCCACTCCTCAGGAACAAGATACGTCTGTCTGCTCCTGTCAAGCTTGACAGTCTGGGAGACCCTCTGTAGTCAACACTGACTCCATGGTAGGGGATTTGGAGGCGCCTCCAGCGAAAGGCCTGGCGATCCATTTCTGAAACTCAGCCACTGAAAACAGTTCCACTCTGACACCTACCAGCTTCCAGGAGGTGAGGTCAAGTCCACGTGGTGCGGTTGGGGGAACACGAGGTCACTCGCAGGCAGCGGCACCTTCTGCCGGGTCCCAGGGTCCGGTGCTCCAGCGGCCCAGGCTGCTCTCTGTTTCCCAGACTCACCGACCAAGCACTCCCCTTCCATAGATCATCTGTGATACTGCTTGTCGGAAGTCTCAGGAAAATGTCACCTCTTCTCTCCCTGGGAGAGCCGATTCCTTACTCCTCTCTCCTCACGGAGCACTTTCTGTGCCCCCTCACTTGGGGCCTGGATCTTGTTATGCTGCACAATCTTCTTCCTACACGTATTTTTAAAAAACGAATGCTTATGGAACGTGGGTAAGATATGACAAAATAATAATAATTTATAAGTCATCAAGAGTTCACAAGGGAGGGGGGAGCGAGGAGGAGGGAGGGGGAAAATGAGGAGCTGATACCAAGGGCTCAAGCAGAAAGCAAATGTTTTGAGAATGATGATGGCAACATATGTACAAATGTGCTTGACACAATGGATGGGTGGACGGATTGTGATAAGAGTTGTACGAGCTCCCAATAAAATGATTTTTTAAAAACAAATACTTATGGAGCGCTCGAACTGGCAAACGGTCACATAATTCTCACAACAACCTCTAGAGTGGCTTCTGTAATGGCCCCCAGTTTACAGGTGAAAAAATCAGAACAACCCTGAGGCTTGAGGAAGGTTCCAGAAGAAGGCGCTACGCCTTCCAGGGTCTACTTCACACCGTCTTGTGCTAAATTGCCTCCGGTGACATAAGCATGAAATGAAGTTCCACCTGCAGAAGGATCTTCCCTGCTGAGAGTCTGCCATTTTCCTTGGCCTCCAGCACCCCCACCCCTCCCCCACTCCCACCCCTGCCCCGTCCAGCGCCTGAGTGCCTACAGAAAGAGCATCTATTTGGTGCCGAGCCAAGCCTGGATGCCAGTTCCCGTTCCATCTGAACCTCAGCTCGGTACGTTTCTGTGTTCCCATTTGCAAAAGGAGCCAAAGCCTGACCAGAGCCCCGGGTTAATCTGTGCAGCAACCGAATCCATCCTGCCCGGGCCAGACCGGGGAGCGAGAAGGCTCTGGCCCAGGCGCCCAAAAATAAAAGTTCACTGCCACTGAGATGATCCTGGCTAGCAGGCAGCCACCCTGTAGGACAGGGTCGAACTGCCCCTGTGAATTGCCAAGACTGTAACTCCCAGGGAGAACAAAGCCCTGTCTTTCTCCTGCGGAGTGTCTGGAGACTTTGAACTGCAGAACCTTGCAGGTCACAGTCCAGCGCTTAACCCGGGCTGCCAGAGCACCTTGGGCTTCTATGGGCTGCCGTCAAGCGCTGCCCCACCTCCACGTCACGTAACCACTGTGAGCCAACGAGCCGTATGGTTCTGATGCGGTTCCAGACATCGCGCGCGCTCACAGCAAACCACTCCCCAAACGGAGTGACTTGAAACAATTATAATATTTATTTTGCTCACAAATCCACAATTTGGGCTGGGCTCCGCGGGGAACCCTCTGCGAGGCTCCACTCGCCACAGCTGGGGCCATTTGCAGGCTGAGGGCCAGAAAGCTCTGAGGGCCCATTGACTCATATGTGTAGTCATTGATGCTGGCTGTTGGCGGAGGCCTCCGCTGAGGTTGTCAGCCGCCTTAGCCAGAGCATTTACATGTGCCCCTCCATGTGGTCTGGGCTTCCTCACAGCGTGGGGGCCGGGCTCCAAGGGGGAGAGGCGCTGGGAGGGGAGCAGAGGAGGGAAAGCAGGGGAGAAGGAAGGGGAGGGGAGGAGAGGGGAGAGGAGGAAAGGGGGAAGCTATAGGAATTTTAAGGACTACCCTAGGTAGTCACACAGTGTCACCTCTGACTCATTCTATTCATGGAGGTGAGGTCATCCCAAATACCTGCCCAGTGGGAGGGCAAAGAGACTCCACCTCGTGACGGGAAGTGCCAAGGTTCTAGAAGAACACCTGGGACTGGAAATGGGCTGTGGCCATTAAAACAAAAAGAAGAAGTCAATCTGCCACAGAGCCCTCAATTGACAGAAAAGCAAATGAGGCTGAGGAGGCTATCTGGCGGAACCGGGATTTGAATCCGGGTCTTTTCATGCCCAGCACGGTGCTTCTCCCAGGTATCACAGACCTTCCGATACCATCTACAGTGAGGGTTCTGGAAAGAGCCGCAAGCCACCCCCACCCCCCCTCCTTTCCTTCCAGCAAGTTCTTCCCTCATTGGACCTAGGGAGGAAGGGCAACCCCTGAGTGGGTCAGCTCCCACTGGGCTGAGACTGGCAAGGGTCTGAGGGAATGCAGGGGGCAGGGGCAGTGTCTGGGGTGTGTAGTTCCAATGGATAGCAGGCGTCAAAACAGACTGGGTGATTTGGGGAATTTGGGGGAAATGTCAGTGTGATGTTAGCCTCAATGAAAGAAAGACCGGGAGGCCTGGAATCGAGGTGGGGGAAGAGGAGGGGGGCCGCTGAGAGGTGTAATGGGAGGGACCCTTTATTTGCCTAGAAAAGTTTAACTTGAGGCTCACAACCTGCCCTCCACCTCCCAGCCCCGCTCATGCAAATCAATCACGCAGATGAGACTGGAACCCAGGCTGGTGAGTCCTGGCTGGCTTGGGAGAGGAGATAGGAATGCACTGCTTTCTTTCCTGATGATTGGAGATGTTGGGGCATTAAACCTTCTGGGGCCGGAGCAGAAAGCAGGAGGCTGCAGAGGCCTGGGGTTGGGATGTGGAATCTTGATGTGGAGTTGGCCAGCAGCGTCTTTGGGGCTGTTTCTGTCTGACCCATTAAGGCTACAAGGCAGAATTGTGTCCTCTCTGGATAGACCTAGGCCCCAAGCAAGTGCAGACTCTTCCCCTGAGCCCCAGGCTACAGGGAGGAGCACACACTAGGGCAACCTGGGGAGGACTGTCACAAGTCCAATCTCCTCGGGCAGCCGGAGCTGGGATTTATAATCTCATCCGGGACATTTCAGAGCTGTGGGACCTTAGAGAGGTCGCTCAGCCTCACAAGACTCAGTTTCCTCGTCTATAAAATAGCAGCAATCATGCCTACCCCAAAGAGTCATTGTGAACTTTTTGAATGAACCCCCTGTGTGTACCCCGCGAAGGACTGCCAAGAAGCACCTTCACGTTCAGCCTGTGGAGCCCATC